CCCAAGGGCGTAACATATAAGTATGTTTTATAGACCATGATATCTATTGTCAAAAAAAGGTTCATAACAATTGGCAAAAAAATTATCGGTAAATTGCAAGAAAACGGCTCAGTAGATTTTTACCTAAAACTAATTAGTATCATTCCCAACCAATATCTTTCGAAGAGTTTTTTATTTTAACACTTTTTTCCAAATTACAAAGAAACGGCTTAGCCGATCGCGGCACAGAACTGCGAAAAAATAATCCACACCGAAATACATCGATTGGCTTTTAAATTTTTGAAATCGGTTTGAGCATTTTAAGCAATCTTCGATGAAATTTCTAACTTTGACAAACGCCAAAAAAACGATTCTAATTTTTGCAAAGTTGACGAATCTTTAAATTTAAAACGACCTTTTGTAGGACCGTAATATTTTAGTATGATTTATAGGACTATGGTATCTACCGTCAAAAAAAAATCATAAAAATCGTCGATTTTTTTTAACTTTATTACAAGAAAACGGCCCGACTGATCTTTACCAACCAATTCTTTCGAAGGGTTTTTGAATTTTTCAAAATCGATTCAGAATTGAGGGCTAAAACGTGGACGAAAAATTTCTCACTTTTCTGCGATTTACAAAGAAACGGCTCGGCCGATCTTCGCACAAAACTAACAAACTATAGTCCTCATCGAGATACATCGAATGGCTTTTAAATTTTTGAATCGGTCCAGCCGATTTTGAGTAAACGTCGATTTACGGCAGAAGATTTGTTCACGCACACGCACACACACACGCACATACTTTTTCCAAATTTGATCTTATTCGATTCAGAATGGCTTGAAACGTCGACAAAACATAAAATTAGCGAATCGGACTTTTTGATGAAAACATAAACTTCTACTTTGGGAAGTTAATTAGGAGCTCTTGTTTTAAAATTCATTTTGTTCATCTTTTATGTTTCTCTCAAACCATATTTCTTTTACTATCGTCAATGAATGACAAACTTTTTTGCATTTGGTTCTCATCAATTAGTACCATAACTTTGTATTTTTTCAATTCCAATTTTTTCAATTTAACCATTCTCTAATACTCAATTCTATGCAGCTGGTAGAGACAAATTTGATGGAATTGGCAATATTATTGTTATCTTATTCTAAAACAGTTTTTATATTTTTGCCTCTATTTCAGGTTACCAAAATCTGAACCAATGCGAGAAGAACTTTTTGAGGTTGACACTGACGCTGATCAAATAGACGATGTTATGTCCAGAAGTCACAGTGATGGTATCAGAAAACAAGGACATTTGCTCAAAGGACCTGATACTTCATCTGATAGGATGTTTGCACATATTGGATCTAAAAGCTTCAAGAGAAGGTAGGAATAGAGTTATGGAAAAATCAAATTAAGGTTGCAAAATTTATATTGGTTCCAAGATTTTTCTGTAATTTTTGTATTTATAGTTCATTTTAAGGAGCTTTGGGAAATACTTTTTATCATCATTTTTAATTGGAAACTTGAAAATCTTATTGTGTATTTACTTTTCTGCAGATATTGTTATCTTCGTCAAGAAGTTGATGGAACTTACATTCTGGAGCTCCACAAGGATGAAAAGAAGGGCGATGCAAAGGCTACCATTGTTATGGACTTCTGTACTGATGTAGTAACTGTAAGTTTTTTTAAAAAAAACTGCTGTGCATTTTTCAGTACAAATAAATTGAAATTAAGTCAAACTTAATTTTTATAAAAATATTTTTTCGCAGAATACAAAGAAAGGTCGATACGGATTTGAATTAAAAATGATAGAAGGACATAGATCGTACACTTTGGCAGCAGATTGTGAAGCAGAAATGCAGGTAATTAATTATTTAATAATATGTATTTAAATAACATACAAAACAATTTTTTTTCCAAAAAAATCAATCGAAAATTACCAAATTTTAATGGTGATCAAATTGCTGTCTCAATATTTTAGATCGATCGATTAAAAGATTGTTTTTAGTTTGTAACGTGCAATGTTTTATTATGAAACTAGATGACCCGACAGACGTTGTCATGTATCCACGTCTACAATTTTTTACTATCCTATACTAATATTTTTATTATTTAAGATATCCAAAATTGCGTCTTAAACTTCTACTAATTGATATCGTGAGGGCCGAATTGTATGTATTCATTTTTACATTTTTATTTATTATGTTCAAGTGAAATTTTTAACGTATTTTTAAAATATTATGCGAAGATTAGTAAAAGATGCAAAGAAATTATATATTTCTTGAATTATATTGAAAAAAAAACTATATTGAAAATTTTATATCTGAATCTTGTGTTGGCGTCGTAAATGTCATAGATAAAACATGAATCATAAAGTGAATAAACTAAATAGATAGTTTATAATTAATTAATTTTGATTTTGAATGGTAAACGGTATAAAAGGTATCCTATGTCCTTCTCCTGGCTCTAAACTACCTCCCTGCCAATTTTCAGCTAAATCGGTTCAGACGTTCGTGAGTTATAAGTTTTCTAACTAACACGATCCTCTTTTATATATATATATATATATATATATATATATATATATATATATACGAGGTGTGTTCAAAAAGTACCCGGAATTACTAATAATTAAATTTCGCGGGTCTGGAGTGTCTGATTGTCAAAATTTTTTTTTATTGTGTTGGTATACATGCCCCTAAAGTATGATGAAATTTTCAGCTATATTCACTGTTTACTTTGTCTGTGGTAGTCGCTAAAGGTTCGACGTGTTTTTCTGAGCTCGGCGATTTTTACAATGGAAGAATTGAAAAGTCAAAGAATTTGTATTAAATTTTGCGTAAAAAATGAAATAAAGTGTTGCAAAGTGCAAAAATTCACCAGATATGGCTCCGTGTGACTTTTTCCTATTCCCAAAGTTGAAGAGACCCATGAAAGGACGGCGGTTTTCCTCGATTGAAGAAAATCTCTGAGAGTGCTCAAGGACATATCAAAAAGTGAATATCAAGGGTGCTTCGAAAATTGGAAAAAACGCTGGCATAAGTGTATTATATCTGGGGGGGACTACTTTGAAGGGGACCACATTAATGTAGACGAATAAATAAATATTTTTTTGAAAAAACGAAAATTCCGGGTACTTTTTGAACAGACCTCGTATATATAGAATAAAAATATTGACGAATCAAGTCATTCTGAATTTTTGACACAAATGCAGGAATAAAATATTTCATAGTTTCAAACAGTATAAGAGCGAAAATGATAGAATATCATTTGTAATTGAAGAAAATTGCTGTATTATTTATCTAACTCAAATGAATGAATAATTGTGGTTAGTTTTATTTTAGGTTTATTATGTTTTAATTTTTTTTCAAAATATCGATGAGTCGAGTTATTCTTAATCGTTTATCATCAAATTTGGAAAAATTTATATGTAATGTGATCCAAAATTTGACTTTTCTTGGGCTGTTGCAAATTTTACCTAAATAGCTGAATTTCAATTCTCATTAAGTCGATTATTTACAATTATCGAGAAATTCATGCAACTTGCCTCAAGGCAAAATGCCATTTACACTTAGTTTAAATTACGTTTAATTTTTTTTTTCTAATTTTAGGACTGGGTTGCTAAATTAAAAGCTGTGATAGAACAAATTAAACTACAAGAAGAGAAAAGGGCTGCATCATTGGAAAGAGGTAAATAGGATCACGTTCAATTTTTTTTTGTAAAAAAGTAACATATTTCAATAACAATTTAAACTGGAAAAAATCATATTTAAGCATTTTTACCTATTATAATTTTGGATAAAATATGATTAATTATGTCGCCATCTAACTATGTGCTTTTGCAATTCACCAAAATCTGGTAGGGCTTGAGCTTCTTTTTATTATTTTATTATTATGTAAAATTTAGTTAATATGTCACTATGGCTAAGGCAACACCGGTCTTTTATTTGAGTTTATTATACATTTTTTTTATCGTGTCAATGATATTTTTTTATCGATCTTTTACTTTTTAGCAAGTTTACAACAATCAGCACCGCCATCGCCTGCACCTTCGCCAGCACTGACCTATGGAACCCTCAAGGGGTTAGAACAAAGTATGAATCCTCAGTTGATAAGATATAGTAGAGAAACCGATATTTCGATAGCCAGTTCCAGAAAAGAAGGAAGAAGACGTCTTTTTAGTGGTTACGTGCAGCCGAATAAGGCGACTCCTCAACCTAATGTTGAACCTTACAAGTAAGTAGAAAGAATTATAAAATCATAAGCTATAATAATAATTTAGGCCCCGACTTACGAGCGATTTGTTGCTTTGACATACGAGCAAAATTCGAGATACGAGCTTTGACCGAGTAAGGGTTCTCTAGAAAAGTGAAATTATGAACAATTTCATCAATCGTAACAATGATTTTCTTACCATAGAAATATTTTGGATGTTTTATGAAAGTAATTTTTTTTATAGTTAGTCATTTCATTTTTTCATTAATTTGAATACATATTTGAAAAAAGTTGAGTTCACTAGTTTTGGCTTTTTTACATTTGCTAAATATTATTTATTTTTTATAAACATAAATCCAAAGAAAAGAATGTCTCTTGAATGGAAACGTAAAATAAAAAAACGTTACATAAATAAATTGTACAAAAACTTTTTTTTTCATTTTTATATTCGATTAATATTTATTACTAGCCATATTTACGAATTTAACAAAAAAATTAAAAGTTTCTCCATTTTAATTTAAATTGCTAATTATTTTCAGTTTTTTATATTAACTTTATTGAAAATTTTCTTTATATATAATATTTGGTTTTACGTACGGTTTTTTTGGGCTAAAATAACTGCGCTTTTGGCCATTCATTAAATGGGTGTACATTTTAAAAATGAAAAATATAATTTATAATTATTTATCCTTATAAAAAACAAACTATCAACGTTACTGACTAAATAAAATAACCTCTAAAAAATATTTAAGCAATTTCAAAAATTTGTGAAGACAAACGTACTTAATTTATAATTATTTATAATTATTACTTAAAGGTAAAAAACAGTATGAATGTAACAAAATAGTTTGAATGAATGTAAGGTAAGATTCATAAGATTCAGGAATGTCATCATAAAATGCAAAAATCAAACTAATTTTTTTTTAAGTTCTTGGTGATGAAATGTCGAGTATATCTAGAAGAAATAAGATAAGATTTTTTTTTCTAAAATAAAAATAGTCTACTTTGCGCCCAATTATAACATAATATTTATGTAATATATATAAATAAGAATGTTGTAACATAGTATGTATAGAAATATGTAACATTGTTATTTAAAAATCCAAAAGCCAAAATTTATAAAAATATTTTAATATGTAAGAAATTATATCAGCTACCTGCTAATAAAAGTCTTGTCAAAATCGATTCAGCCGTTTTGAAGATTATCTAAAAACATAAATATAAGAAAACATTAATTTAGTATATGCACCCTATTTTTATTCGTAGCGTTTATTAAAATTTCAATTTTACAAACAGACACTCCAATTTTATTAACTAGTAATCAAGTCAAAAATTTGAAATGGAAAATTTCTTCACGTTTTAGAGGTTTCTGAACATTTTGGCACACCTTAGAAAAAATTGATGTGTGTGTATGAATGCTATTTCTCGTCTACGTTTTCAAGCGCAAGGATCAAACGATTTGAATGGTTAAAAAAACATTCGATTCCTATTAATAAGGTCACGTGCCGATTAATTTTTATAGAGATTTTAGTAATAAGTATAAAAACAGCCACGCATCACGATTGCTTTGAAGAGTTCAAAAATTTTAAAATATAAAAGTCAAATTGCTCAAAAAAATTTTTTTTTAATTTTCAAGAATGACATTTTTTTCAAATTTTTCAAAAATGACATTTTTTTCAAATTTTTCAAAAATGACATTTTTTCAAAATTTTCAAAAATGACATTTATTTCAAAATTTTCAAAAATGTCATTTTTTTCAAAATTTTCAAAAATGACATTTTTTCCAAAATTTTCAAAAATGACATTTGTTTCAAAATTTTCAAAATCACATTTTTTCAAAGTTTTCAAAAAAATTCAAAAGCTTTCTTTAAAAAATTAATTTTTAGTACAAGAAGTTCTAGCAATTTGCTTTAAGGCACAATGCCATGCACTGCTAGTTTATATGTATAGATAGCCCATTTCATTATCAAGCATAAAAATATTATACTTTTATACTTTATTTCTAATACTATACATTTATTCTTTATTTCATATATTATACTTTTATTCTTTATTCCATATATTATACTTTTATTCTTTATTTTTTGTTTATTTATGGGAAATGATTGCTTTAATCTCATTTCAATAATATTAACACACCAAGTAGATAATAATAATGGTGTAAATTGAAAAAATTAGCTAAAAAAATAAGCCCTGCCGTGACCAGGATTCGAACCTGGGTTACCACGGCCACAACGTGGGGTCCTAACCACTAGACGATCACGGCTATCGGGCTATGAGATAGTGACCCTATAATCTCGTATCATTGATACCGATATCTATATAAACATTTAGAAAGTACCGTAAATAAAACTCTCACCTGCGTTTGATATGCATGCAGCTACTCATTAGGCGCGTAATAAAAATAAAATGAATTATTCTTCATATTCTTTTTAACTTTCCGTAGGGTAAGTATAGTATAGTAATCGCAAAAAAATCGGAAATGAAATGTTTTATATACCTCTGCGTTCCAAAGGTTTCTGAACATTTTGGTATACCTTAGAAAAAATGGATGTATGTGCGTGTATCGATACAAATTTTCGTCGACAATTTCAGCAACACAGTTCAACCGATTTGATGAGAACACGTGCTGATTATTTTTAAGTAACAATAACTTACAAGATTTCATTGTATCTTGATTTTTATTTCAAGGAAAAAATCTTTTCGTGTCATTTTTTTCATTCATGATTTTTTCTAGGGAGCAGTTTGGCCAACGCATATCCCTAGTTTGCGAATCCCTGAAGTTTCGTCTCCAAGCCCCTGTCGATGGCGAAAAAGAAACCTTGTGCCAGGTCGAGCCCTATTTCACGTCCCTTTGTTTGTACGATGCTCGAGCCAATAGGAAATTGACCGAAAACTTCTACTTCGACGTCAACCATGACGTCTGTCGGAAACTGTTGGAGATAATAACAACTCTGGAACTATGACTCATAATGGGACCACTAATGGTAAGGGGATCATATGTAACAATTAGACATATTTTACAGGATAACTTCATAACAGAAAAATGTTATGGCAAGGCCATGTTACGCTTCAACTTCTATACATTATGCTACTGAATCATACTCAATACTGTCAATTTGTCATGTATTTGCTGTGCATTCAGATGTTTTACACATAAACTGCAACGTCACTCGTATGTTATGAAGCTGGGTCAGAAAGACCCTGATACCTAAGATCGTTTTTTTTTGACATCTGACAACCTAAGATACACGCCTGGCTGCACAGCAACCGCAAAGCTTTTATCAATAGTTAGAACGTGTTAGTATGGAAAGTTCTTCATAACATAGCCTTGCCATAACATTTGTCTGTCATGCAGCAGAATCCGTCCATCAAATTACTTTTATTACATAAAATTATCAGAATCACAACGACGTTTGCAGAAGAATAGTAAATAATTTTGGGAAGATTGTTACATTTACAGACTGCAGACTGTCTGTTTTATATTGTATTTCTAATAGTTTGCAGTATAATATTCGAGGCACTTTTTTATAATTTTTTAAATGACTTGAACTCTCTTTTCCGCTTACTATTTTTAGTTTGCTTAGCGAAAATAGATAAAATTTACTAAAATTTTTGCCAACTGTCTTATATACCTCAATACAAAAACTTTGAATAAAACTAGATTGAACTCGGCCTGACATATAGTGCAAATTAATAATACAATTTTGGACCGTTTTCCTACATTTTTGTAGAAAAAAATCGAAAACTTTGTTCCGGGCACTCTTTTTTAGTTAGCTTAACAGAAATTAGATAAAATTTACTAAAATTTTATGCTAACTGTCTTATACATCTCAATGCAAAAACTTTGAATAAAACCAGTTTGAACTCGGTCTAACACATGGTGCAAATTAATAATACAATTTTGTGCCATTTTTCTACATTTTTGTAAAAAAAATCGAAAACTTTGTTCCGGACATTCTTTTTTAGTTAGCTTAGCAGAAACTAGATAAAATTTACTAAAATTTTATGCAAACTGTCTTATACACGTTAGTTTTCCTAATAGTCATACCAAGAATTATTTATTAGTTTAATATAAATGCATGTGGTTAACATTTTGAGTATTGCTTTAGTAGTTTAAAAGCCTATTCCGGACAAACATCGTTACACGTACTTTATATATTTATATCACATATTATATATTTTAGTAAAATAAACAACAGTCAGTCAGGGTTTATGACCTAATTATATCAAGTTCCATATCATCATTCTGTTTTTTAATCCTAAATTCCATTTCATCATTCCATTCCTAAATTAACCCTTTCGTCTCGGATTCCGCCATTCCGGCAGCAAAATCATATAAATCTCGGAATTCGCGAGTGGGAAGTGTTAAGTTCTTACGACATGACGACCCGACGCTATAATATTCCGGGTCGTCATGTCGTATTACCGAGTTGTCTAAGAAACTAAGACAGTTTAAGTTGGATTGTTTTGGTGTTATTGCAGTTTCAATATAGAGTTCAAACAATGACTAACTTCAGTCTTTTGAAGTGTTTTTCTTTTATCGTTCATTTGTTGACTTTGTATACACTTATAATACTTATACATAATACATTTTACAATTAATCTTTATACTTTTTTATAATTTAAAAAAAAACTCGGTGTGAGAAGTATGATGGAAATGAATAAATGGATTAGTATTTGTATTAACAAATCTATAATAATTGTTTTAGTATACATATTCAAACAAAATCTTGATGATTTTAGGCATTCAAAGTTAGGGGCGCACGAACTTTTAGCTACCCTGAAACGGCACCTCGTAGCAGGTTAAGTGCACACGCTTGGGACTCGCCGAAACTAAAAATTGAAAAATAAATACATAGCAATATTTAATACCAGTGATAGTTTATGTAGTATTGATATTTGTATAAATATGCTTTGATTATGTATACTAATTTATTTTTCAAATTTTATTTAAACGTGTGATTATATATTATAGCAAATAACACCAAATGTTAAACATCAAATTACCTCAAATATTTGGAAAAGTGCTATTAATTTAGCTATTAGTTAAATTTATCTATTAGTTAACTTAGTTGTCATTTTTTCATTCTTATGTGCTTGTATATAATTGTATAGTGCACCATATATCCTTTTCTTTGTCAATAATATTATAAAAGTGTTGTGTTCGAACTTTATTTGGACTGCGTACGCGCTGTCCCGGTAATAAATTTTAATATCAGTCTTACTTCTAAAATTGCTCTTAAGCTTTATTTAATTGATTGTTATAGATTTTTATTTTTATATATATCTATCTATAATTTGCAGGTTGTACAAACGGCACAGGTGATGATAAAAAATCTGCAACAAATGGTCATTCACCAACTGCTGGAGATGGAATGAAGAACGGTTGTTCTGGAACTAATGGTAGTGCTGGTGGCGATGGCGAGGAATGCGGAATGTTCGATGCTAAATGGATAGAGCATCCCAGACAAGTAATTATTTTTTTACATATTACACGAATTATTTCATTCTTTAAAATCTGAAATTTTATCGAGAGCGAATGACGAATCATTAGCATTCGACTCGGCCGTAACGCACTTCCGTTGCATTTGTACGGATTTACACCCTAGTCGCGCCTTAAGAAGTTTTACTTCAAAAATATCTGCTATCTATAAGTCAAATTACACGATTATGCTGGGCTTGGTTTCAAAATTTGATTCTCGTTTAAAATAATTTGTTTGAAGTTTTTAATATTTGTTCTCCACCAATAATATTTTAATGCAATAACTGTTGTCAGAGAAATAGTTAACACTGATTCACTAGGATAACATACATATTTTTTTTTATTCATTCATAATATATAACAATCAGAGTTATTTACATATGGCTAAATTACACATAATAATAATCACAGAAAGAAATAAAATAATAATAATAATAATAAATAAATAAAAATAGATGAAAAATAAAGAAAATAAATAAAGAAAAAATAAAAGAAAAAAATAACAAATTGTAATAATTGGCTCCAATAAGCAATTGACTATGGAAAGCAATTTTTTACATTAAGTCTATAGGCTGTTTCTAACATACATATGACTTTTTACAAACTCTGTACTTATTTGTACACAATGCAATAAAATTATTAACTTCCCGAAGGAGAAGTTTATGTTTTCATCAAAAAATCCGAATGGCTAATTTTATGTTTTCTCGACGTTTCAAGCCATTCTGAATCGAATGAGACCAAATTTGGAAAAAGTATGTGTGTGTGTGTGTGTGTGTGTGTGAACAGATTTTTTGCCGTAAATCGGCGTTTTCTCCAAAACGGCTGGAGCGATTTCAAAAATTTAAAAGCCATTTGATGTATTTCGATGAGGACTATCGTCTCTGAGTTTTGTGCGGCGATCGGCCGGGCCGTTTCTTTGTAAATTGCAGAAAAGTAAAAAATTTTTCGCCCACGTTTTAGCTCGCAATTCTGAATCGATTCTGAAAATTCAAAAACCATTCGATAGATATTGGTTGGGAATCGTGCTGATTAGTTTTTGGTAAAGATCGGCCAGGCCGTTTTCTTGTAATAACGTTTTTAAAAAAAAAATTTCGACGATTTTTATGATTTTTTTTTTGACGGTAGATACCATAGTTTTCTAGGTCATACTAAAATATTACGGCCCTACGACAACTCGTTTAGCTTTAAAAATTCGTCAAAGTTTGCAAAAATTGGTATAGTTTTTTTGACATTTGTCAAAATTAGACTTTTGATCGACGTTTTCTCAAAAGCGCCTGAACCGATTTCAGAAATTTAAAAGCCATTTGATGTATTTCGGGGAAGACTATCGTTTGTCAGTTTTGTGCGACGATCAGCCAAGCCGTTTCTTTGTAATTTGAAAAAAAGTGTTAAACTTTTCGTCCACATTTAAGCTCATCCTACCGAACCGATTTTAAAAAATCAAAAACTGTTCAAAAGATATTAGTTGGGAATGATACTGATCAGTTTTAGATGAAAATCTACCGAGCCGTTTTCTTGTAATTAACCGTTGAAAAAAAATTTAAGCCGATTTTTATGGATTTTTTTTAGCGATATATACCATGGTCTTATTGACCTTACTGAAATATTACGGCCTTAAGACAAATAGTTTGATTTTAAAAATTCATCAAAGTTTGAGCAAATGAGTAGCTCTTTTGACATTTGTTAAAATTAAAATTAGACTATTTACTTGGTATAATGATAGAGTACTTGGTCTTGAACACAATAAACCATTAAAGTTCTGGAAACTGGTTCAATTATAAAAATTATTGATTTTTGAAAATTTTAAAAAATACTCCGAGCCAAAGTGTTCGTTCGTTTTCAATTATGTGTAATAAATCCACTCGGAATACTTTTAATGACTCATAAATTAATTTATTTTTTATTGATTAAGTCGATTATTTAAATATATCGGGAAGTTCATGTAACTTGCCTCAAGGCTAAATACCAAACCAACTAGTTTGATTTTTTTTTTAATAATGATTTTATATTATTTTCAGGCGATATTAAGTGTGACCAATCCACACCCCGATGTATTTTTAGTCGTAAGAATTGATAAAGTGTTGCAAGGCGGTATCTGCAACACTTCAGAGCCTTATTTGAAAGCTACAAAAGATCCACGTTTAGGTAAGAAATATTAATTAAATTACTGATGACTAATAAGTAAATGAATTTGTAAATCTTATGTATTTATATTATTGTTTATAGGTTTAAAAGTACATAAATCTGTGAAAACATACTGCCAAAGATTAGGACAATATAGGATGCCATTCGCATGGGCTGCGAGGCCTTTATTTAGGTAAATTTATAAGAATTATATATTTTTTTAGTTTATGATACAGCCAACCTTTGCATAACGCGGTATTTTAATAACATGGTTTTTCTATAACGTTTTCTATAATTTATAACTTCGCACTTCTATAGCAGTTTTCTTTCGACCATAAGTATTTTCCCAGCAACTATATATTGTAAAAGGTTTTAATATAAGTTTTATTATTGACTAGAATATTATATTTAAAAATATGTTTTATATACATGTTTGTCCATTCACAGGAGGGTTGACCAAATATCCAAATGTTACTCGCATTCATAAATTGCTATAATTTTAATTACGAACTTGAAATTAATTAAATATAATTCTTTTATCTAGATTATATAGCAATGAATTAGATACAACTTCAGAATTTCCGTCCATATATCGACAAGAGGGTCACAAGTTGAAAGATGAGGATCTCTTAAAATTACTAGCAGATTATCGCAAACCTGATAAATTGAACAAATTGACTGTAGTACCAGGATGGCTGAAAATATCACTGCAACCGATTGTAGAATTACCAGAAAGTAAGTGAAATAAAAAATTTGCTAGATAAAAAAGTCAAATATCTCATTTTATTTGTCTGAGCAATTGTGATATGAATTGTATATTGTGATTTTTTTTCATTATATTCTAAATTATTTATATATAATCCTAAATAATTATTTTATTTTTATCTAACATGTAATGTCTATATACGTGAGGCTAAAACTTTCAAAAAATTGTAAGAAATGACTGGTTCCATTAATTTTGTAAATTAAAAAAAAAAATTGAAAAAATCCAGTTAGGTCCTGGACCTAACTTAAGGTCCATATTTATTTATCATTACATCAAAAACAATTTCTGGGTTAGATATAAATACATATCGTGAACATTTTTATAATCGGTTCAGTAGTTTAGGATTAGGAGTCCACACTAGGCAAACATTGTTACACGCACTTTATTTAAATGATAATTTTCCATCAAACAGGGTTTTGTTTGTTTGTTTGTTTGAAAAGATTTATTTGTTTCATATTATATTACATAAAAGAAAAAGTGAGTAAAAAAAACTTTATCAAATATCTTATTCTTTCAATAACTATCTTTTATTGTAAAATTAGTCTGATGAATTTAGGTATTAATTTTCAGATTGTTTGACCACTTCGTTGATACCTTTAAGACCATTTCCGAACCCACCAACATGCGAGCCGACGATAGAAATTGCTGAATTCCAAAGTCCGTCAGGTAATTTATAGTAGAATAAGGTTGCTCAAGTTGACCTATCTGAATTATGAATTATTGAATTACATTATCTGGTACCCTTAAATAGAAATATGTAGTGGATGAGCAAAAGTGAGCAAAACTTGTGACTTGAAATTTTTTGTGAAGTTTCTACTAATATTTTGATTCAGTTGTAAGTATATTATGACAATGAAATATTTTCTATACTAATGTTCATTTTTGACTATCCGTAGTGCAAAAATTGCAGTTTTTGAGAGAACTAAGCGTCCGATTTAAATGATTCAACTGCTTACGAAACCAGTGCTTTCGGAAAAAAAAAATTATTTAAAAAAAATCTTTTTGATTATCGAAAATTATTCGAATTTTAATTTTAATTTTTGCTAAAGTTCTATACTCTGAAGCTTACTTATATCCTTTAAATGAATAATTTTAACTTTGCAATTCAGTTTAAATAATTCTTATAAATATTAAACAATGTCCTTCATTTTAAATTCGATTAATAAATTTTACTTTTGTTTACTTTTTTGTAAACATATATGTGTTACAGTATTTTTAATTATCTATTTGAAAACATTTAATATTCCTCGTATATTTTATTACGGTACGGGAAGTTCCAGCAATCAGCCTAGAGGCACGATGCCATACACCACTAGTTATAATTTATTTGACATTCGGTCAGATTTAATTCAATGTTAGATTCTGTTTAAATTATGTGAATAGTTAAAAAAAATAAAAAATAATAAAATAGAAAAAATTGTTGTATATGTGTGTGCGCGTGTGTGTTCGGATACAAATATTCGTCGACGATTTCGAGAACACAGATAAACCAATTTGAATGATTTAAACAACATTCGATACCTATTGATAAATAGACGTGTTGATTAGTTTTTGGCAAAGGCAGGCCCAACCGTTTCGGAGATACGGGGCAAAAGGTGCCAAAAACGGTAATTTAATTTTTGTGTGAACGGAGCGTCCAAATTAAATGATTCAAAAAATTTAATTTTTAATTAAATTTTTTAACATTTAAATTGGACGCTAATTAACATTTAATTTGTATTAACGAAATGAAGAACTGATAGAGTTATTGGAAAGGCAGGTCTAGCGGTTTCTAGCGGAGATTCAATGAAAAAAGTAAAAAAAATGCTGTTTGTCGGATAAAAATGATCTCTAGACAAAGACATACATCAAAGTATAAAAAACAAATTCAAAAAACTCAAAACTCATTTCTTTTCAAAGTTCTGAAAATAAATTGAATTTTATTTTGCTGTGCTATCATACTGAACTGTCAGAATGTCATGTATTTGCTGTGCAATCAGGCGTTTTTATCAAGTTGTCAGATATAAACCTAACCTAGACAAATATAAAAAAACGGTCTTGGATAACAGGGTCTTTCTGACTCAGCTTCATAACATACGAGTGACATTGCAGTTTATGTATAAAACCTCTGAATGCACAGCAAATACATGACATTTTGACAGTATTCAGTATGATTCAGTAGCATAATATATTGAAGTTGGATCGTAACATGGCTTTGCCATGATCTGTTGTGGGGCAGAATCGGTCTATTAGTATGCCAAAGGTTTTTTTTTTAAACTTTATTGCTCTAAATAATGTAGCATTATTTCCGAAGGGGGTACGATTTGGGCAACCTTACTTTATATCCAAAAAATATTTGAAACAATTAACATGTTTTATCTTATTTTTTTTGCAGATCGTGATGTACACCCTTATACAGTATTCACAAACCACCTGTACGTCTATCCACAATCTCTCATGTTCGACACCCCAAAAATATTCAACAGGGCAAGAAATATAGGTTGTATTGTTGAATTAAGAGACAGCGACGCAAAGGATGCACAACCACTTAAAGTAAGAACAATATTAAAAATTAAATTTAATTAAATTAAAATTTTTGAAAAAGTTATTCTAATGACACTTAAATTTCCTTTTCAGTGTATATATGGTAGACCTGGTGGTCTTCCTTTGACCACACGAGTAATTTGCCCTGTGGTCCATCATAATACAACTCCAACGTTTTACGAAGAAGTAAAAATACGTCTTCCAATAACATTAGATTCATCACATCATATATTGTTCACGTTCATGCACATTTCATGTGAAATTTCGAAAAAGAAAGACTGCAACTCCGATAGTTGTGTGGGGTACGCTTGGATCCCTTTGATTAGTAAGGGAAAATTGAATCTGGATACACAGGTAAGGGAAAAGAAATATTTATTTATATTTATTATAAAATGTTCTAAAGTTTTTGGTTTTACAATTACTTACTGCAATTTTCAGACAATCGCGGTATCTACTCATCTGCCACCAGGTTACCTTTCGATACAGCCTTTAGGACTAGGAAAAGGGGTAAGTTATTTTTTTTTTATTTCTTTTATTGGCCTCAGATAACATTTAGCTACATACATAATATACAATACATAGATAGCTTATATATTATATTAATCACTTACATCTTAATTTTACTATCATTAACAAACCTAATTATGTAAGGGTAACAACTCAAATTTTGCAATAATGATGTCAAATTGAAGGGTTTGATCAGTGTTTTTATAGAGTGCAGTTTCTCTAACAATTTAGAAGGGGTAAGTTAGTTTTTAAAATGAATATGACAGTAAAGTAAAGTTTTGAAGCAAAACTTTATTAGGCGCGACTAGGGTATAAATCCGTGCAAATGCAACGGAAGTATATAAGATAAGATAAGAGTCGAGTGCCAATGATTCGTCATTCGCTCTCGATGATATCATTTCTATACGGGTCGATTGTGATTAGTCGTCGTGTATGTGAATAGAGATCTGTCGTTGTATGCGTTCCGATATCAACAATGAAATCGGCTTAGATAAATAAACATTGTAAAGTTACATCGTAGTACAAATGTTGATTTAATGAAAAATGCCAGAATCAGAAGAATATTTTACTCAGTCCCCCGTACATAATTATAATGGAAATAATAAAACAAATACATTATTTGCGCCGTGTATGAAACATAAGTTTATTGAAATAATTTCTATGTTATCATAGAAGAAAGCGACTGATCCCATAAATTAGTTTAATCACAACACTAATAATTATTTATTCACTAATTTATTGTAATGAATGGGGCCTTACAGCGCTAGTTCTATAAAAAATTTAAACCGTGACTCAAAATTTATCAACTTGCATTCAAAATTAATTTACAACTTTTCTTAAATTCATATTTTATGTGAAATGTAATGTCATTCATTTCATAATTTTATAGAATGTACATAATTTAATTGTGTCCAAAGGATTTTAGATTTTAATGCAGTAATTTTAACCATTATTTTGCAATATAAGTAAATATTTAGCATTTAACTGCAATCATTAATTAAATACAAAAGTAAACAAAACCTGATTTGTACATATAAAATTTGGGTTTGTTAACTCCATATAGCATTGAAACATTATTTAAATTGAATTTAGAATGTAAATCTTGTTAGTTAAAGTATTTCATAAATGGAATTAATATTATTGGTTTGTTACCAATAATGTTTTGGAGCCGTATCTTACCTTAAATTTATATTTGCAATGTGGCATTGACTTATAGTATTTTCTTAATATACACAGTTTAGTATACTGATTTTTGTTAGAAATACTTCACATGTGTTACCATAAGACATGACATTTTTTATACCTGTTTAGTAATATATAGTGTATAGATTTTATCTCATCTTCATTTATTATTCGTAGTTTCTATAAATCTTTGAAGTTATTGAAATGGAAAATATTTTTTAGGCAAAACAGATATTACAGCTGTTCATAGATTGAGATTATATCGCCAGCGAAAAAGTAAACCACTAGTCAATGAATGTATGTTAATTTGAATTATATGAAGTTCTTCAAACACATTATTACATGTTGAGTGAAGTTGCGAAAACAATATTTGTTTAGGCGTTGTTTAACATAATTCGCTGTGTGAACGAATATTATAGAATTTATTAATCAGCAATTACTTCATTTCTCTAATGAAGATCCAAGTCCTAAATGCTAATTACAATGACAAACCGATCATGTCATGTTTGAAGTATGACTTTAATTACATTATTGTTTTTAAATATTATACATATTTTTAATGCTATTATAAATATATAATTTATAATAAATGTGTGCATCACGAGTGTTACCACATTACTAATAAACACTATTCAAAATTGTTATATATATTTATTTTTACTTAAGTGCCATCTTGTACAGTAGCAAATAAGTTTTTACTTCAATCGCGTGTGAACCTTACGCGCACTCTATTTTTTTTGGAACAACTTAGTATTTTATAATTTACTATTTGTTTTTTAGAATGCTGGACCAGAAATCACCTGGATAGACTCCCAGAGGCCATTATTTACAATTGCATTCAATTTAAATTCAACAGTTCTCACTCAAGACATACATTTACAAAATTTATTTACCCATGCTGAAAAACTGGTCGACAACAAACCTTCGGCAATTCCTTCCGAGAGCGAAACCTGCAAAATTTTGAAAGCTGCTCATGCTATTCAAACAGTAAGAAATCGAAATATTCAAGTACAAATTTATTTATATTTGCTTAATTTTTTTAATTTATTTTAGGTGACCGTTATAACATTTTTGCCGACGATTTTGAACCAATTATTTGCCCTGCTGGTTATAACGAATAGTGAAGAAGTTGGCCATAATATTATTCGGCTGTTGGTGCATATAATACATATGATTCATGAGTCTGGTAGAAATGATATTTTGCTGAGTTATGTTAAGGTTAGTACTATTTTATTTTTTATTTAAAATGATTATATTATTACTAGGTGACCCGACAGACGTTGTCCTGTACCCATGTCTACAATTTTTTTAATATTCTATACTAATATTTACAGTTTACCTACAAATAATAATTATTGTTATTTTAAATTACTCTTTACACTAAAATGCATATACATCTATATGAGAGATGTTAAGTGTATTAACTGCTTTATAAAATGATGAGGCTCAATTTCCACACTATATTGGAAATTGAAGTCTTTTAAACGGTATAACAAATTCAGAAAATATTAATATATAGTATCCGCGATAAAAGTACAATATTACATTGGATTTTTCCACTCAAAATAATTGTTACAATAATGTTATAATTAATGCTATAATTTTTATAATCTCGTATCATTTTTTAAACATTTTTTTGAATCTCGTATCATTTTTGCTTTTTTGAAACAGTTGCAATATGTATGTATTTTCTTGAACGAGATTTTGCTTTAAAAAATACATTTTTTTGAAAATATTAAAAAAATAGGTTTCTCTGTTTCTTTTTTTATTTTTCAAAATTTCAGAAAAAACGACTTTATTTTAAAACATAAATATAATTACTGAACATAAATAATACTTGATTTTTTTGAAAATTTTGTAAAATGTAATTTCTTAAACGATTTTACTTTCAGATTTTTTTTTTTTGAAAAATTAGGTTTCTAGTTTTTTGATATTTTGAAAAAAAGACTTTAAACTCTGAGAAAATTTTCATTATTATATTTAATTATGTATTTTTTATTTTTTAAATGATTTTGCGTTGAATCTTTATTTTTTTAAAAACTAGGATGCTTAACTATTTTGAACATCTTAGTTTTTTTTTTGCAAATTTTATTTTTTTATGTTTAGGAAATTCTGAAAAAAATGATTTTATTTGAAAACTTAAAATTTTGAAAAATATATTTTTTTCAACAATTTTGCTTGCAACTTAATTTTTTTCTGAAATTTTGAAAAAAATCGATATTATTTAAAAGCTTGAAATTTTTTGATAATTTTGTAAAATGCTTTTTCTTAAACGATTTCGCTTTAAAAAAATATTTTTTAGATAATTTTGTAAAGTTTGGATACTTGAATCTCGGTAATAAATTTCATGAATAGTAAAACTAGTGGTGATGCATGGCTTGTGTCTTGTGGCAAATTGCTGGAACTTTCCGTACCATAATTTAAAATTTTTCAAAGCTCATATATGAAGAACAAGAATTTTTGAGTATTTTAAATTTTTTTTTAAAATTTTTCAAAAATTTGAATATTTAAAACTTTTAAAAGATCCTGTTTTGAAAATACTGAATTTTTTTTAAAAACTTGTGTTGGAATTGGAACTGAATGCTTTTGTTTTTTTTTTAATTTTAGAAGTTTTTGATACCCATTAATTTAATGTCGTTTGATCCAGACTGTCGAAAATATGTTTTTCGAACGCGAAATGGCATCTTTTACTGCTGGATCTGCCCTTTCAATTTCATAAGTTCTTTATTACGTCAATACAAGTGGATGCTTCGTTCTCTGACAAAATTGAATTCTTATTTGCACTTTTTGTCTGGAATTATCTTTGCCAAAAACTAATTAGCATGTCCCGTCTCACCCTTAATGGGTGCTCTTACTTATCAACATAGGAATAAAACAAGTCCTGGTTTAATAATTCATGTTATTTAATAATAGTTACTCCTGTGATATAACCGTATTATATGGATTATTTCAAGACCGTGTGGCAAAATTTTCAATGTTTTTTTTTTCATTTTTCAGGACTTTTTGGAAACTATCAGCGTAAACTTTACCGTCTTTAATATTTGTTTATTTTTTCCTTTGCACTTTTATTTCTAATTTTATTTAATTTGTTCCTATTTCCCAAATATTAAAACATTTGTATATTGGGATATTGAGAATATTGATATTGATTTTCAATATATAATCTTCGAAATCCTATATTGTTCTAGTAGACTTATGTATTTTTGACATCGTGAGATGTATTTCCGATTTGTTAATATATTCATTAACTTCCCGTAGGGTAGTTATAGTAATGGGCCGAAAATCGAAAATAAAAATTTTTGCATTTCTCGACATTTTGAAGGTTTCTGAACATTTTGGCATACTTCAGAAAAAATGGATGTGTGTGTGTGCGTGTATGTGTTTTGTATGTCCGCATTTTTTTGTCCACGTTTTCGGGCGCACGGATCAACCGTTTTGAATGGTTCAAAAAACATTCGATTTCTTCGTTCAAGGCACGATGCCATACACCACTAGTTTTATATTGTATTTAAAGCGATTATTATAAAATGTTGGAATACTAAGTATTTTATGCCAGTGAGTGCATTTAAGTTTTTTTCATACATGATTCGATATTGTTCTCGCACACCGAAATAACTTGGGCGGTTAAATATAAACCGGTCTTCGCTTTTGTGTCTCATGTCACATATGCATACGTTTGGTAATTGTCCTACTTTACGATTGAGAATGTTTTCTCCGAACATACCGATTCCAAACAGATTTGTTCTCACCAGGGGGCGTAGCTCAAGTGGTAGAGCGCTCGCTTAGCATGTGAGAGGTACCGGGATCGATACCCGGCGCTTCCAACCCATATTTTATAATATTTTACTAATAATTTATTTTTGGTATTCACAATTGATAATTTTTCTTCATTTGGCAAGGTGTGAGTGAAATTCTCAATTAGGAAAGTTATACTTATATCAATTATCTGAATCGTCTAAATAATCGACGTAGTTTCTATAGCATGCTATATCATAATGTAGTAGACTAGCGTAAATTATAGTAAATTTGTCACTTTTGTGCAGACTTTCCAATAACGTTAGTAAACGCGAGCCTAATACATAAACACTTACACAGTGCATTTTCTACAATTATTTCTAGGAGATTGATTAAAATTATGCACTCTATTAATGTGCAAATTAGCAAGTCGGCGAAAGATTCTATCGAAAATATCTCCTGTGTGAAGATTATAAGATACTTGTATAAGAATAATTTATTCAGAAAATGTTTTGTTAAATGACTTATTCAGCAAAAATATAGAAATAAGTTGAGAGATAATTAATTGCTGACGATTTAGAATTTATAGTCGATAAAATCTAATTTATCAGTTATTAAATATACAGGGTGTCCCAGAACTCAACTTGAAGCCGATTTGAGATGATAATATTGATTGCAATTATTATGAAAACAAAGTTTTTTAAACTTTGAAAAATTAGTTTTTTGAGAAATTTTAAATTTTTGAAAAAAAAAAACTTTGAAAAAAATATTTTTATTATTTTGAAATATTTTGGAACTTTTTTTTAAAGCAATCGCATTGCTTTCGCGGCATAGAGACAGAATATCGAGCGGAATTTGAAAGTCATGATCTTTTACGTGATAATTTTTAGGTTAGTGTGGCTTATTTATATTATTTTTGTTCTTGGCATCGTAACCGTGAAAAACATTTCTATGACCAATTGACCACAATATAAAACTAGTGGTGTATGGCATCGTGCCTTAAGGCAAATTGCTGGAACTTCCCGTACCGTAACGAAATGTTCGAGAAATACTGAATGTTTTCAAATAGATTATTATAAATATTGTAACATTGTCTAATATTTATAAGAATTATATAAACTGAATTGCAAATTTAAAGTTATTTGTACAAAGTATATTAGAACTTTAGTCAGAATTAAAAATGAAATCTGAATTATTTTCGATATACAAAAAAAAACTAAAAAAATGATACTTTTTTTTTCAAGTAATTATTTTGTTTAAACAAGCTGAAAGTTCTTTGAATCATTAAAATAGGACGCTTAGTTCTCTCAAAAACTGCCATTTTTTGCACATTTAGCTCTGTATCGTCAAAATGGCTGGGCCTGCCATTGCCAAAAATTAATAATTACTTCTCCCAATCATTACTAATTAAATGTTTTTTAGATAATTCAAATCGGATACTCCGTCCACTCAAAAACTCGATTTCTATTTT